CCTACCCACGTCCTTCAAACATAACAAAGTGGAAACGCAGAAGCAAGAAGATAAGCTGCTGCGGTGGAGTTTCCTCACTGGCAGCAAGACAGGGTGAAGCAACAGGATATATGACAGGGTTTCAGTGAGATGAAGAATAAAGTTCTGGACTATTTTCCTTTAGTTTAATCTCTGCCACCTGCCATGAGGCTCCTGTATCTGAGCCTGAGAAGGCCCTGTTTTGTTCAGTTCAGTTTAATCGCTGCATTTAAATATGTGTGTAAAAAAACAACAACAAAACGCCATCTGCATGAAACCAAATTTGATATTCTCTCCCTCTCCTAATGTGATCCCATGAATTTCTTGCATTGTTGTGTCCCATGTACTAAGGGTCCCATGCAGAGAGCAAACAATAAAGCAGCGAGAAGACAGATGCTCTGCTAATGGGAAACCAAGGAGAAGAGAGTCTGTGAGGGATTACAGGCAGCCTGGGGTTGGAATACATTAGTAGCATAGCACCCAATTCAGAAATTAGTTTTCAGAATTAAATGCCTGAAGCATTTTGGCAAAAACTCCTGATCATCCCTCTCAAAAGCCCTTAAAGCATAAAAGAGTAGGAATCTCAAGTCTAGGCCGAGCAATCGCATTCGGTGACTTTGCAGTGCGGTAGCAGTGAATTGTAGTTTTTACGGCTTCATACCATTACCGGGGCAGCAACTGCCACACCTACTAAAATGCAACCCACTTGATCTGCTCGCACAAACCTCTAGCAGGTTTTGAACATCCTCATCAAAGAAGAAAATGGGCCTGAATGAGATTCCAGGGTCTGTTTCCAGGAGGAAGGTTTTGTTTTGTTGAGTGTGTAACAGCAGGGAAGTGCATCAGCCTCTCCTTGGGCACGGTTAGGCATGCGAAGGAGAAGAAGTGACATGTCTTTTCAAAGACCTGACGTTGCCTAAGGTAGAAACTTTGGGTCCTGAAGCCTTTTTCAGGCATGCTATTTTCTGAACGTTTCTGCTTTTGAAAATCATGATGAGAACATCAAACTTGAAAAGACCCTGGGTAGACAACCAAGATTGGTTACAGGACTGAGGGCAGACAGGAGAAATTGTTTCTCATAGTACTTGGTGGGATTATCCTCCATGCATAATTGTTCATTATATGCTCAAAATTCATTGTTAATTTCTTTTGGATATATTGCACATTAGACAGAAGAGTTACAAACCCCAAGATTATCACAGGAGGACACTAACAGGCCTAAATATTCAGGACAGAAGGGGACTTGTTTTCCTCTTACATTGAAACAAAGACTCTTGGACAGAATCATTAGAGATTTTTTTGACTGTTTGATAATCAAAGTATAGTGGACAGGAAACAAAAGAAAAGTTCAGCCAGCCAAGTTGTCTACTTTATTTTTACTCTTCTGTTCTAACATAATTAACATATTTCTCAAGGTTTATTTAGTTTCCCAGACTCTTACTTTATGAAAGTATCATTGGGAGGCTTGATTACAAAGTCTTGATTCCTGCACATAAAGTGAGATTTTATTATCCTGGGAGAGAAGTCAAGGACAAGGTAAATATGGGAGAAAACAGTTGGGACCAAACTGAGAAATCAGGAAAAATAATGTACCAGCTCTTCGATGTGCACTTGTTTTCTTTGGTTTGGTAACTAACATCTTATTTCGAAGTCACAGAAGTGAGAGTAAAGGGTAACGCTTCATTTTCAGCTTTGAATTTCAGAGCTGTTCTTTTTATAACTGCTTCTTTCAAGATTTTTATATATGCTTAATAAGCATCTATAATGAATATTTGGGCAAGTTCAAAATTATGCTTCTTATTTGTCTTGGGTACAGAGTGTCTGTAGATTTCTGAGGGTTTCTGTCTAGTTTGAGATTGGTCTGTATTTACATCATCTTACTGGTCTGCCAACAATTTTTTTGTTGTTGTTGTTTTAAAAACTGGCACACACGAAACCCTTACAGAGTAAGGCTAGAATTGAGCCCAGTACTGCTTGCATCCCAAATGAAATTGTACATATAAAATACCATGTGTACAGGAAGCGTAGCTGTGATTTGGCTTCTCCACTAGGGTCTTGCCTATCAGCCTGTATTACTTCAGTGTTTCACCTCAGCCTGTTTTTCATGTCTCTAGACTGTGAGGGAGGGCTGGTGTGCACAAAAGCTCTTTTTCCCCCCTCCAACTATGTCAGTAATAAAAGAAGCTACAAGTCCGTAGAGCATAACCTCCTCTCCTCTTGCACTTACCTAGTTCACAAGCTCTGGGGGACCAGTGCGTCTTCTGCCCGGCCACGCCGGGAACCCACCATCGGGGAGGCTCTTGGGTGTGCCGAGAGATAATAAAGAGGCCATTCTGCCTTGTCTGCAGTCCGGAGCAAGCCACAACTTCTCTCTCGCTGCACACACAAGATTTGTGAAGGTTAATAATAATCAAGTGCTTGAAAGACAGAGGTTGCAGATTTTAATTAGTATTTTAAGGCTTTGTTTGTAAGCTCTGCTTCTAAAATTGAAAACTTAGCACAACAGCCCTGTTTGAACTCTCCAAGAGAAGAACAAACACTGCAAAGCAGTTGACAGGTGAGATACAAAAATGTAGAGAAAATCATTTATTGTCTACCTTTAAACACCGGTGTCCACAGTACTACCATAATGTAGAAAACAGTGCTGCTGGGATCTGAGGCCGTTACTCTTTTCCAGTCCAAATAGATATAAAGTCCAAGCAGAGCTGAATCCAAAACCCTGATCTCACTGAGTCAGGTCTCCAGTTTGTCTGGGATCGATACTGTGATCACAAAAGAGTGTAGTAGTAAAGAACAGCTCCCCGAGCCCATGAAATGTTTTATCACTGCTATTAGACTTACTGCCATTTTGCAAAGTCTTCTTAATTGGGTAATCCAGTTCTGGATGTGTTTGACAAATAACAATTCTCTTGTTAAAAACAAATCATGGTTTTAATTTAATAGGGTTAGTCATATGAAGAGTGATTTTGTGTCAGCGAAACCTTTCTTTCTGACAAACAGCGTAATTTATGACAATCTAGTTAGCAATAAATGACATTAATCTGACCACTGTACCATTCTGTTCCTGGGGAATAATGTTCCCTCTTAATCAATAGCTGGGTAAATGCCTCTTTGCATTCCTTATCAAATGACAGCCAGATGGTACTGGTAAATTCATTCCAGCAGGATTTTAGAATTAGCGGGGTTTGTACTATTGTTAATCCTCTGCTGTCTGCGCCACCAGGACCTACCCACCTGTTTCCAGTAACCCTCGAGTTAGCAACCTTAGGAAATAGTCTAGCCAGATGGTTACTCAGATACAGCGCAGCCAAGAAGCATCCCAAGCAGTGAGGCCTTTTCTCTGCATCAGTAAGGAGAAGAAAAAAGAATAAAAAAACCCAGTGTCTTGCAGAAATAGCCAGCTAGGACTGCTCGCCTCTGTGTTTGTTCCTCAATGCCCTGGTCTCTTGTGATGAAGTTTCAAAGTTTCTTAAGATTGCATGAGCTTTGTTCTTTAGTGCGTAGTAAATTTGGAGCTGAGGCAGCTGCCATACCATCATTTACTGACTTTCTGGGCCCGTCAAAGTGTCTGCGAGACCTTTTCCTTCATAATCGCTTTGTTGCATAGCAACAATAATTTTGTCTCTAACCTATTGATCTGAAATAACATGTAATCCCCTCACACCAATAAAAAGGAAAACATATGGCAGCTCTAGGCTGGGAACCACTGGCTTTTGAAGTGAGGGGGCAGTTAATCCCCACTAAACCAAGGGGGGAATGGAGCAAGCCATAAGCTCTGTTGGGCTGAGGCTCTGAGGATGCATTAGGTGCCTGAGCCAATTAACCTGTGCTCCGGGAGAGGAGTCCAGTTTACGCTCATCCGCCCCGTTCCTTGTCGTTTATCTTGTGCAACTAAAGTACATTTCAGGTGAGCTTTGCTACAACATCAATTGCTGAAATGAGCATCACTCTGCAATACCATACCAATAACTGGGCACCCCTTCCCTCTGGCAGGAAGGAGTGCACACGCAGCACTTGGCTTATATGGGACTGCAGTGGGTGAGGGTAAAGTTCAGCCGCTGCAAATACCGGTTGCAAAATTACATGGCTGGAGTTCTTCAGGCAAATGCCTGTTGCCTGTAGGGTAGTTGTTTGGTAGGTCAGTCAATCTGGCCCGATAACCTTGATATTTTTTTGTATACCTCTAAACACAGGGCTAAAGACAGAATTTGGCATCTGAAACAGGATCTGCTTTGGGGACACAAGTACAAAGTTAAGGTCAAGAACGCTCAGGCAGGGAACACAGAGCTTTGGTCCCAAGCCAGCAAAGTATGTCCCCGCTGCTGCGCCCCTGGCACCGAACCCGGAGCGTTGCTGCCCGGCCTGCCCAGCCTTCCCGTTTCCCGCTGCAGGCTGGAGCCTGGGCTGACGGCTGGGGTTTGTGTCATCTTTCTGAGGTCCCTCACTGTCGCCCACATTGTGTAGGGAGCCTGAGCTCCTGCAACTGGAATGTTAGATTTTTCCCTGGACAAAATGCTTGGTATCCACGAGGCAGCTAAATCCTCCTTGCGCCTGGCTTCCTTTTTCTAGCCTGCGTATAGCGCTGAGTGAAATGTAGGTCCAAAATCCGAGGTCAGTAAGCATCTGCTCCCTAATTTGAGCAGGAGTCGGGAGGCAAGTCAAGGCCTATGTTATTTACTTCCCCAGTAACGACCACCAAAATGCATGCTTGCCAAATAGGCTTCAAAAATAAAAATCAAACTTAATATTGTTACATTGGAAACTCAGTGGAAATTTTGCAGTGGGTCAGGAGGCCAAGCTGGTATCTGAGCATGCTGCAGGAGCAGAGCAAAGGCTTCTGCGTTACTGTCTCCCAAACCTATTGTATAGTTTGCCAGCATATACAGCACAGGCTGGAAAATAGCGCAGCATTCGCTTAAAAGGTATTTCTGCAGCTAGAGGAGTGGCTACTAATAATCCTTTCTTTTCTGTCATTTGAACAGTATTCAGGTTTTCAGCAAACGGCGGACAAGTGCTTTGTTTGTGGACACCTCATAATGGAAATGGTAAGAGAGCTAAATTCCTAACCGCGGGGTAGCTTGCTTTTCACATGTTTTGGGTAGCGCACTGTGAGACATTGTGCTTTTTCCCTAGTCAGACTATCCTTGCGTCTTCGCTGCTGTCAAGGTAATTTTTGAAACTGAGGCAATAAATAAAAATACTTTCATGCTTTGTTACTATTAAGCACAGTAAGTTGGGCTTCTTTCTACCTGAGATCATGGGAGGCTGTTGTTCTGCCACATGCCAGTTTAAAAAAAAAAGACAAACAGAATTTTAATACTAAAAGGGGAAAATACAGCACAGCTTTGTATGACAACATGGTAAAGGAAAACGGAGGCTGTGCTCCGTTATAGCAAGAATAGCAAGAGCTCTGTCAAGTGGATGGAATCTGGGCTAGAGAGGAGGGACATTATCGATGGTCCTGACGGTTGTTGCCCACTCTGTGACTTGCTTTATTTACCTTCTGCCACTTGCTCCACGTCAGTTAAAATTCATTATTGCCACTGGGATTTGTAGAGAGCCAGTAGCCAGAGTTATTTTTATAATAAAAAAATCAAAGGGCTATGGGTTGGGCCAGATACTGCTGGCATCACTTCAGTGGGTGAAAGTAGGAAGAATTTACTCTCTTCTTCCTAAGCAGAAATTCCCAAACAAAATGAAGTGGCATGCACGTTGAAGAAGTGCAGATCATGTAGTATAATCTATTTCCTTCTTGCTTTAAAATGTGTACGAACCTCAGTATGCCTAACAGAAGTAGCTATCGCTTTGCATCAGGAGCTGGAACGGGGACTTGACTAATGAGGATTCTGGCTCATATCCTGGCACCACTGGTTGGACAAGGATGTTGTTCGTTTTAGCCCAAGAGCAAATTTCTGGAGTTGTGTCATGCTGGGAGGGGGAGGGGCATGCTGACTCGCACGCTTTGAGCTGGCCCTTAATTGCAGAATCCCAGGCAGGAGTCCATAATATCTCGTTGGTGGAGCTCGGTAGCTGGAAGCTTGGCAGGTGCTTGTCTGCCTTTCTCCCATCAGCAAGTGTGCTCTGACAGAAGGAAACAGCTCTGGGAGCTCCAGGAATTAAGCAGTCTTATTTGGCTAATTCCTTCGTGTTCCTCTCCGGGAGCGCGCATACAACGAACGCGCCTGCACGGCAGCGGTGCCTGTACAGAGCTGAGGAGCAGAGAGCTGCCGCCCCACAGGCCTGGGCGCAACTGAAGCTGTTGCAGGCTGAACGTGCAGCTGAATTAGGAGTCGCCCTGTGCAAAGGGCTGGCTGCACAACCGCGCCAGGCTAACAGCGTGGGTACGTAGCTGTCCAGATAGCAACACGCGCACAGAGGCGAGTTGTTTCTGGCTAGGAGCAGGCTTGCAGACCAAATGAAGTCTGATGCCACTCGCTGAACGGAGAGCTATAGGGCTTCATTAGAGGGGGAAAAAAGGTTGAATTAAACTGACTTTGTGCATTTTTTCCTACGCACCACTTATTTCCTGTTGATTTGATCTTTATTCATAGAATCATCTATACGGCCATGAGAGCTTGGCCTGCGGAGATTTTTCATCTCCAGCTTAGCAGCAGCTCCAAGCTGAGCACTGCTGCTAGCAGATACTTTTGAAATCACCTTCCAAAGGTATTTCTTATACCCAAAATATATTCAATTGGTGCTATAACCTGTTGAGAGCTGCCTGAAGGTGATACCATGTCTCGCTCTTCCCAGAGGCTTGTTCATGGGCTTGGTGCATCCTCCTTGATGTCCCAGTGCCACGCTGAGCGTTACATACAAGGATGCCAGGAGGGAGGGGCTCTGGTTTGTAGCAGTGTAGCGGAGACTGCATCAGGCCTTTCCTTGAATCCTTTAAAATGCAATAGGGAAGGTCAGCATGGGAAACCTGGGCAGATGGATGCATCTGTATCCAAACACATGGATGGATACATATCTAAACACATGGATACAGATGGAATTTTAACAGAAACTGATGGGCACCTATGACTGAGCGGTAACTAGTCAGTAACTGTGGTGAACATACAGATGGAATTTTAACAGAAACTGATGGGCACCTATGATTGAGCGGTAACTAGTCAGTAACTGTGGTGAATTAGGATCCTTAATTAACGAAGGGACACCTATTTATTTGCTTGTTTTGTTATTTTACTTTTTAAGTTTGAGTAATGACTGTTTTGGATTCTGTCTGTCACAGCCTGTTAAGCTTTGTGAATTAACTCTGTATCCCAGTAACTTGTATTTGGCTGCAACAGATTTTCCAAGAAGTGGTCTCTGAAGCCGTTTTTAATTTCTGTTGGCAGTATTGGCCCTGCAGAGCTAAGACTGATGGGCGTTAGCCTGATTTTCACAGTTCTCTCTCTTTATTGAGAGCCTACTGAAACCCACTGAAATAACCAAGTTGATTGTTTTAAAAGGCCCCTTGCTGACAGATCTGCAGAGTGGTAATTTCATCCTGAAGTGCTTTTCTCACTGTTATTATTAAAAATCAGACACAGCAGTATATGGGGGGATCTCATGTAACCACGCGTCCACTTATTTTGCTGTTTGCCTCTTAAGATCTTACAGGCCCTTGGAAAGTCATACCATCCTGGCTGCTTCCGCTGCGTGGTGTGTAACGAGTGTTTGGATGGAGTCCCCTTCACTGTAGATGTGGAGAACAATATTTACTGTGTCAAAGACTACCATACGTAAGTACACAACTCCATTGCATGCTTGGAAAAATTACAGGACTTAAATTATTGGTATAGTTATAAGCCTTGTGCTAGATAAAAGGGTCATTCCTATTTGCTCAGATGTCCTTCAAGTGCTGCTCTCACATGTTGCATTTGTGAAATATTTTAAAGTTATATTAAAGGTCGCTTCATGGGCCCAGTGTGACATACAGTGGCCAGGTGAAGTTGAAAATTAAGTTGTGTCAGAGGATGTACTTCTCTGGTGGCTGTTTCTCTACTTCTTTCAGGACTTTCAATACTAATTAGATCAGGCTAATTCTGCAGGTGATGGTAGGTTCTGCTGGCTGTTTCTGAGAGTAGTGCAAGCATAAGTTAGGTTAACCTAGACTGGACAGTAGGCGTGTAATTAGCAACTAGTGTTAGAATGAGCTTGGCCTTACCTGACAAAAAGTTTTGTTGTTTAAGTGATTGCTTTTGGACTCCTTTCTGCTCCCGCTCAAAGGCAACATGAATGCTCTTAGCTCCAGTCAACCAATAACTCAGCTTATGCAGCAAGAGTAAATTACTCTGAACTCAACCCTGTTGGTACCAGGCTGACCGTGTTACAAGGATAGAGTGAATGTTGGCCCAGTGATTGTCGTAAAACACAGCTGTGGATAATAAGACCAGTTGACGTATTTGGTGTAAGTAGATACTAGCCATGATCAGCTCGGTTCCTATTTAGCATGATTATGTCTTCCTGACGTCAGATGGTGACAGTCCCCACGTCAGGAGCTGCTTTGCAGTCAAAGCAGCAAGTCTCTGGAAGAATTGAATGGCTTTATGAGTAAAGGAAGGTAAGAGAAACGGTATATGTGGGAAGAGGGCTGGATTCAATATGCCTAGAGGTCAGGAAGACCTAAGCAATAAAGCTGGGGTAGATCAGCCTCTTCCAAATCTCCTTTTCCCTGAAGATCATCAAACATTTAGAGGTGTTTCAAATCCTGTGTATCTACATGTTGCTAAAAACAAGGCATGGTTAGAATAGCTCTCTTGGTTCTACTTTTTCAAGAAGCTTTAAATGTGATTTGAACACTTCCTTCTTTGCACCCTAGGGTTTTTGCACCAAAATGCGCTTCCTGTAACCAGCCGATCCTACCAGCACAGGTACGTGTTAACATGCACTGAGTCTGTTGGCATATGAACACTTTCTAAAAACATGCTAGATGCTTTTCCTCCCTCTTCCAGAATCTAGACTATGTCAGATACTAAATTAAATACAGTTCAGCAGTAATGTCACTCCCAAACATTCCCAGAGGTTGTAATACTCATACTACTTATGCGGCATAGTACTTTGTATCTTTAGGGTGCTTTCCAGGTCTTAATTATGCTGTTATAAATCTCATTTAATTGAAAGCCCTGACTGGGGCTCCAAGAACAACCTAAGTAGTAAAGCCCTGTTTATTTTTAGAATCTGCTGTTAGCTCAAGTAGCAATTTTCCTTGTCTGCTATGTTTGTGTTTCTGATGTGGATCTGTTAAGATGCCCAAACTTGAAAAGACATCTGAGGGTTACCCTGGCCCCGTGAAAAGGCCACACAGTCTGTCGTCCTGGGGTGGCAATGTAATTAAAGTGCTTAAAGGAGTGGAAAAGAGAGCAGAAAAGTTGGCTAAAAAGGAAGCTAGGTGAATGACCTGCTTGCAACTTCAGCCTATCCTATCCTGACAGTATAGTTAGCACGATAAGACTTGTGCGTTAAGACGTCCCTTTTCTGCCTGCCTACAGTGGTGCTCCCTCATACTCTGGTGGGTGCAGGACCCTTTGAGTTCCCATTGCTGAGGTCACTGACCAGCTCATTTGTAAGCAAGGGCCTCGGCTCCTCCCTCCTTGTCGTCCTGTCATGTTTATAGAGCTGCAGCTTGCATTCTGTAAGCTGCTGTGCTCTAGTAAAGCTCCATCACTCTGCACATTACTCCCTCTCATTATTGTTTCTGTTAAATGGCCACGTCTTACATAATTAAAAACCTTACAAAGGCTGAGCCAGCACTGCTTGTCCTGGCGATGGGATGTGAGGAGGAAACCCCTATGTAAATTTCACTGGATTTGTCTCTTACAAAATTACTTTTTAAAAAAAAAAAAAGAAAGAAAGAAAAGGGGGGGGAGGGGAAAGCAGTCCTACTGCTGACTCATCTGATGGCTAGCAGGATAGACTCATCGTTCTTTCCCATGGAGGTTTCTTAGGTTAGTTCAAGTCTAGCAGTGCAGGTACTAACTTGCCCACAGCTTCTCTCAGACATAGTCTACGTCATATCTGATGCTCTAACCACACCTGGAACTGGAAACAATGCAAGGCAACAAATTTAATGAGCTGTGTCTTCAGAGGCTTCAAAGTGGATCAGGGAAAAAGCCTGGGAGGAAAGAGTCTGTGAGGTTACAAGAAGGGTATGGGCTGCTCTGCAGGGCCTGGGGCTCAGCCAGGAATTACACAACCCCACTGCATCCACCCTCACGTTGAGGATTTGGCCTGTGCACATAACTACCTGCCGGACTGGTATGTAAATCCCCATTGGGTACATACAGTGACATGTGCATGTGCAAAATAGCTGTGCAGCAGGTGGTTTGAAGGGAATACAAGTCCTGGAAAACTCAGGCCAGGATGTCTACAAGGAAAAGTTACCCAATCAGCAGGTCATAGGTTTTGGCTGGTAATTCGTTCAGATCCTGGGTGCCCTTGGAAAATTACGTGATCTCAAAACTAACTTGTCCCTTGAGGATGACATTTTGGCTACACTTCCCAAATGACCTCTACAGCTTAGATATGTCAGACGCCCACGCTGCTCCTGAACAGCAAAAACAGCGGTGCAGCGCTGTGCACCAGGGGACAAGACCCTCAGCGGTCACAGAGCTCTGCTCTGCAGAGGAGGAGGGGATCCCCCAGGGAAACAGCCCTCCAAAGCAATAGGTTGGGCACTGAAAGAAGATTGAGAAAACACCACTTACAAGCCCACTCTTACCTTCTCTCTGCTTCCTCAACAGGGCTCCGAGGAGACCATTCGGGTGGTGTCAATGGACAAAGACTACCACGTGGAGTGCTATCACTGCGAGGTAAGCATCAGGTGTCTCTGCCGGCCCGCCCCACGGCAAGGCTTTGCTAAAACCAGCAGCCTCTTGGTAGGTGCCTGACTTGCACCCCAGGGTGCACTCACTGGCTCTTGCATGCCTGGGCACGTAGGGCTCTGCCCCACAGCTCCTGGAGGGAGGCAAAGGGATGAGTGCGAGCTGCGCTGCAAGGGTGCTGCCATCTTCAGTACCAAATTAGGGGCGGTTTTTTTCCCCCAGTATGTTAACTTCAAAAGCTGGGTTGGGTTGTTTGGGTTGCGTTTTCTCAATACTTCCAGATGGGGAGAGAACAAAGAGTAGGTGCCGGTTCTCTTTTTCCTGATCTCTAGATATAGCTTGTGTGGCTCTGATCCGATGAGACTTAAATTCACATTGACTGGAAGGCTCTTCTAGGGGATCTGCGTTTTTTCCATGCTGAATGAATATTCTTTACTAGAAAAGGGACAGGGATACCACTGACTTTCTGTCACTTTTCTGGGAGTAGCTTCTTTTTGTGCAGAACATTTAAACGTTTATTGGGGCAGATTAAGTTGTGGGATTAGTGCTCTTGCTTTGGAGAGGAGAGTTCAGTCCTAGCTGTGTATCAGGGAGCATGAGGAGGGAAACAAACTCTTTAATTTGGGATCAACCCAAAACTTCCCTTTTGCTCTAGGTTTGGCACGCTGATACAGCATGCAAATATCCACATGGATCCTAACTGTGCTACCTAACTGTCTTAGCACTGGAGGCAAAAAATGCAGCAATACTATCTTCCATGCACTTTTGCACAAAAAGGTTTTACAAAGAGACTTCCGATTGAGGGAGAAAATAACAAAATTCAGGGCATCTTGAAATGTAAGGAAGACCCCATCCATTCAGCTATCTCCTTCCAACAGAGATACCTGATGCTCCATCCTTTTCTATTAACTTTTAAAGAGAAATTGGCACAGGAAATTGCAGCATTTTGGAGAGCTGTACTTCCCTCCTCCTTCTTCCCCCATCTATTGCTTTGTGCAGGCTTCACCTAAGATGACAGCTCCCTCCCCTTCTCTCTCGGGCTATTGACTTTATATTAGAATGTCCCAATGGGGGTTTATTTTCAGTTCTGTTTCATTATTCATTTCCCCATTCTCCTTCCAGTTTGAGGCATATCAAGCTGCCTCCACATCTGCCCAGAATGGCAGAGTGCATTTATGTACAGAAATCAGGGGGTTAGCCATGTGTTAACAGGGGTAGGTTGCTGCCTAATGGTCTCAAAGGAGGCTCTCAAACTGTACGTACCAGGTCACTGCTGTCTCCAAATACTGCTAGAAAACTTGGTGCCAGTATTTTGAGGTATGCACATTGGAGACTTTTGCAAAGGCTGTGATGACTTACGCAGCCACTTCTGAAACGCCATTAATGTCATCATCTCCTGGTGGCCATGCAAAGTCAGTAGTCAGTTTGGAAGCTTTGCTTCTTTTCTCTATCATCTCTTTCTTGTGCAACGCTGCTTTTCTCTATCATCTCTTTCTTGTGCAACCACTTAACTTCTGCTGAGAAGTTCAAGCTGGTTTACAGGTCAATAGACCCCCATTCTAAAACTGAAATCCACTGAGAAGGCAGGCTTTCTCATTGCAGAAAAGGAATACAATTTTGGAGAAGGAAAAAGGTATGAACACTTGGCACATCTGTAGGGTATCTGAAATGATTAAATTCTAATGAGGAATTGAATTTGAAATCTTACATAAAGGACTATAAAGTTGTTATATAACATGTAGTAACACACAGAAAACTACCTTGGCAGAAACTTTGATTAAAGCCCCCCTAAACTAACACTCCAGTTTTAAAGCTTACTTTAAAACCCATTTTTCATTCTTATTTCAGCATTGTAAAATTTGAGGATTTTACCTTGAGCTATGAAAGCTGAAAAATCATGCTGTGTGTCCAATTAAAAATTTTACCTCAGTTTTCAATACTAAAATGACCTATATGCCCAACTTGTTCAATTTTTTTTTCCTTTCTATTAAGTGTGCAGATACATACTCAGAGTCTCTGGTTTGTCAGGTCTGGTCACAGGAACAATTTCTAAGTAGTTAACATACGCAAAACATCAAATCCAAGCACAAAAGTGCCATGGCTTTCAAATGTCCTCAAAATTATAATGATGACAACTGAGAACCAGGATTGTCTCTATTGTAGTATACATAATGGGCAGGATCCTTGTTTGTTGTTTTTCTTTTTACCTCTGTTCCTCCACTGTTGTTCACCGATGTTGCCCCTGTAGTTATGTGCTGGTCCCAGAGGTACTAACATATTTCCACTAAAGATGGACTGTTGGCCTTGAAGTCTTCAATTTTTTTAAATTCCAAATTAGAGAAAGTGCAGCCCTGCTTCAGAAGTAAAACATGTTTCATCTCCCCCTCTTCCCCTACTTACGCTCCCCTGTTTCTTGCTTGCTGCCTTGTTGCAGAATTAGCTTCTCCTCTGTTATAACCTCTTCCAGGTTGTATGTGTCAGGATCAGTCCTTGGCCTGTTTCTGCCTTCATCTTTTATTAGATGAAGAAGAGACCAGAATGGGAAACAATGGGGAAAAAATGCTGGACACTACTGTAGACTATCCTGTTTGATTTCAGTGATGTCATTTTGCTTAATACAACATAGTCAGGGTCCACCTACCAAAAACTCTTGAGGTTGCTGGCTTTGGAGGCATGGGAGGGAGCTCTCGGGATTATGCAGGATAGATCTACATTGTTGTGAGATGCCCTACCTGAATCGCTCACTAATCTGGGATGTATACGTTTCTTCTAGGATTGTGGCTTGCAGCTCAATGACGAGGAAGGCCATCGTTGTTACCCATTAGAGGGCCACTTGCTCTGCCACGGCTGTCATATCAGGCGCCTTAATATTAAACTGCCATCACATCCACCTCCGAGCTATCCAATGCATGTCACAGAACTCTGAAAGACATTTCCGTTACCAATAAGCTGTTTGAAAGAGAAGACAAAAATCTAAAAATGACTTTCCTGTTCCTTTAAACATGAGATTCCAGTAATAACCACCTAAACCAGCTATTTATTTTTTAAATCAGAGGTGAGGGGTCCTTTTCTGATCTTGTACATATGCATTCTTTTATCTAGGCATTTTCACTGAGACACCGTCTACTTGAACAAATAATTCACCACTAAACTGTAACTGTAAAATGGCAACATTTCTAAAAACAATGGTACAAAGGGCTGCTCTGCACTCCCTACTCACTTTCCTTCAGTGGAGATTTTGCCCAAGTAAGGAGTGTAGAATTACTTTCCAAAAGTTAGCACCTTATCATATTGCAGCAAGCATGATAAGATAAATGCTAGCATTTTAGCTAGTTTTGTTCAATTCTGGCCTTAGAGAATACAGTCTCACGTTTTTTAAAACTTAGACTCCCAGCAGTAGTGAATAGGAAGCAAACAAGTGTTTTTTAGCAATGACAGTTTTCAGCACGGGTTGAATAATGGCATTCTGTGAAGAAGCGTCAGGCCAGCTTTCCATCCTGCAAGGTTCCACAGTCATCCAAAGACTGTTTAGCTTGTTAAAGAAATATGGCAAGCATTTCATATAAAAACCATGTTACAGAGGAGTATATCCAAAAGATTGGCACAGGCAGGGTCATAACAGTTGAAGAAAGTTACAGACCTCTGTAATTGCTTGCTGTGTACAAATGTAGCCATGGTTTCAAAATGCATTCATATCAACTTGATGATTTGGCACTTACTAAAGAATTCATATTTTAAACCTGTTTTTTGTTTAATAGGGTTAGCAGCCCCTTTCTATGCAAAGGTACACATGTCTTTATAATACTTGTTTTATACAAGACTTCATTTGTTACCAACTGCTTTATGATTGTATGTTGATACGTTATTAAAAAAAAAAAAGAGGGGGACAGTGGTTTTTGTATTATCTTTTCAGCTTTGTGTTCTTTTCTAGCTGTACTTCTGAACTGATTATGGTGATTGTCTTCATTGGAAAACAAAGTACAGTTTAGCAGAAATAATAATTTAGAGAGTCAGACCATTGAACCATTGGTATTTTATAACAAGTATTAGATGTACATAGAATGTACACACTTTCATATTTTGCATAAGCTTTTACAGTAACCTCAGAGCTCTGGGGAAATATATGTCTTCCATATAGGAAGTTAGATGAATCTTTTTTTTATGGTTTGTTTTCTACCATGTGTTGACGATTTACATGCAAATTACACATCTGTATGTTTAAAAAATTCCATGCATTCTCATGAGAATTGATCCAGCCTTCCTGAATTTATATTTTAAATAAATCCATCCATTGCTGTCTTTAACTGTATCCAAAATTACAATAAAATAAAATTCTTCTGCTCCAGAGGAAGTGGAAATACCAGACCAGATTCTCCGCATGTGTAAATTGGGACATTTCCATGCCAGTTCTCAACACGTCGAGAATCTGACTGATCCATTCAGAAGTGATCCCATGTTAAATTCAGCACACAGACTGATGAAATGACTCAACTTATTTGGCAACACCATTGCAGTTCAGTTTCTTATGCTCCATTGATTTTTTGAAAGCCATTTGTGGTGCTCTTGAAAAGTACAAAGAGCATCCAATGGACACTAATGCCTAAGTGGAATTATTAACTCCCTTAACAGAACTTTTTGATAGTCTGGAATTTCCTTATGGGGGCAAA